GAAATATTAAAATCACGATGTATCTCGCTGCATTGCGCGAGTACGCTTCTAGTTAAAACTAAAAGATCTTTCATATTTATCTTCAAATCTAATATATTTAAAATGCAATTAAAATTTGAATCAAACATATAATACCAAAAAAATCGAGAATTTTATGACATTCTATTTAACACGAATATCGATATATTTTTTTCGAATCTTTTTACATGGATTTTCAAATTAGCAAAAATCTCAACCATTATTTTTAATTTATATTTTTCGCAAATATAAATTCCATATTATTTAAATAAAAATATAATTTTTTTATCATCAATTTTATAGTAAATTTCACACTCTTGCATCCTACATATACTTATCTCGTTTTAATTTGATTCATCAATTTTAACTTATAAATACCAAATCAAACTTCATCGTTCTAAAGACTATATTTCTTCACAAGCAGATTGGTGCTGCAATCTGAGATCCAGTCTAGACGTCAGCTCCCAGTGTTGACGCATGGTCCTCGTTTTGTTGAGTGTTCTTGTTTAATTGTCTTGGTATTTTCGTTCTCTTTTTGATGGGTCGCTTGTTTTTGTGTTTCTTTCTGTTTCTCATGTAAAGTGTTTGTTTGTTTTCGTGGGATAGCTTTATTGGCTTGCTTTTAATAAAATTTGTTGCCTTTGAGAGCAAAAAAAACCGAGTATATCTTAAATAATATATCTATACTATATTATAAAGTATTTGACAAAAATCTTAAAAACAATATTTTATATATAAAGTACTGTTTAGTGATGCATATTACTTAAAATTCAAGATTACAAGTAGAATATGCATGTGTATATCTTATTAAAGCTTTATGTTTGAATTCGTGTAACTAACTGCAGATAAATATAATTAAATACATGATAAACATAATTTTAAATTTAAAAAAATATAAAATATGATTAAGAGGCTGTTTGGCAATTGTTGAATGATTTAGTGCAGAATGATTAAGTGGTCAGAATGATTAAGTGGTCAGAATGATTAAAAGACTTTCATGATATAATGCAAAATGAAATATAATTGTTTGGTAATTGTGTACAATGAAATTAGGGCTCTTATTGGTTAAGGAAGATTCAGAATACAAAATCATTCAGAGGGTTTTAGAACCATTAAGAGACAAACTTTTTTTTGTCAAACAATATTCACCTCTTAACGATTCAGAGGTTGCCTCTTAATGGAACTATTAAGAGGAAAACAAACAACCCTAAGATAAATATTGAGTTCTAACAAAATACTTGATTATTATCTTAAAAAAATTATTATATTAAACCAAAAATAAGTTAGTTCGTTATTAGACTTCAATTAAATTATAATAAAAAATTGAATTAAGGAAATTACATAAAAACAAGAACTTTTAAATAGTTAATTTGATACTAATATCGATTATTTTTTTCAAAATTTTATAATATCTTCAAATTTATATTTCATTAAAAAATAAAAATATTTTTGCTTTTTCTCACAACTACATAAAATGGCATTATAACAACGATAAAATATAAAACGAAACATTTAAATCAAGATGTATCTCGCTGTATTGCGCATGTATCATTCTAGTAAAAATAAAATATACTGAAACATTATAAAACCCAACTTATAAAGAAGAATTAAAAAAAAAACTAAATATTTAACAAGAAACTATTTTGACGATATATATATATATTTTTTTTGTGCGAAAACAGAATCCACGGTTTTCATTTATTTATTCCTTAGGGCGCGTTTGGTTTGAGGGATTTGGAGGGATTTGGAGGGATTTGGATTTGAAATCCATTCCCATCCCTGTTTGGTTTGCTAACAGATCAGGATTTCAAATCCCGTGTTGAACTTAAAATCCGGTAAACAAGGGATTTTGAAATCCATAGTAAATGGGCTGGATTTCAAATCCGGGCGACATCTCTTCTTCGATTCTTCGACTCTTTCAATCTTCATGCCCCCATCTCCATATCCAGAACTCTCGTTTCAATCTTCATGCCSTTCGTCGCCGTTCGTCGCCCTCTCCCTTCGTCGCCGTTCGTCGCCCTCTCCCTTTGTCGCCGTTCGTCGCCGTTCGTCTCCCTCTCCCTTCGTCGTCTCCGTCGCCTCCGTCGCCCACTGTCTTCTCCCATCACTCAACAGGTAAATCCTTTTTCCCCTAATCTGCTTCCTACAGATTAGGTTAAATATACAGATTAGGTTCAATATACAGATTAGGTTGAGGGATTAGGTTGACAGATTAGGTTGAATATACAGATTAGGTTGAATATACAGATTAGGTTCAATATACAGATTAGGTTGAGGGATTAGGTTGACAGATTAGGTTGAATATACAGATTAGGTTGAATATACAGATTAGGTTCGATAATTTTGCTGTAGTTCTCGATAATTTTGCTGTAGTTCTCGATAATTGTCAATTGAGTAAGGAGACCCAATACTACAAATCCTACAAACCAAACAGAGGATGAATTTTAAATCCAATCCATTCCAAATCCCATGGAATCCAAATCCCTCATGGGAATCCAAATCCCTCAAAAACATTCCTGCAAACCAAACGCACCCTTAGATTTCAATTCAACATACCAAATGTAAAATCCTTCGAAAAGAAGTCAGCGAATTTAACATGCATAAATCAACAAGGGTTTTGGTTGATAAAGGTTACATATATCCTTGCATCTGATCACAGGAACCCCAAATACCCACTGTTATCTCTTTTATCACACGCACTTGCAAATCTTTGTATTCAAATTCGAATCAAAATCCCTTAATCGACATTTTCTGCTGGAAAACTTCGCTTAATATCGACTAAAGTTTTCTGGTAAGAAAACCTAATTTTCTCGTATGCCTTTGCACTTCTGATATCGTTTATTTTGATTTGGGTATTGTTTCGATTGAGCGAGCCTAGATCTGTAAATGTTTCCGAGTGGCGGCGTTTTTGTTATGTGGGATTTGATAGAATTGGGGCAATCTGTTGTTTGTGTTTGATGAGATGAAAGAGGCGGGGAGATCTGTGCATTCTGGAGATGTTGTGAAGAAAAAAAGCTCTTCTGGGTGTTTGATCATTAAAAAGAAGGTGGCAGATGGTTTTGGGGGAGTTAAAGGGTTTAGTGATTCGGCATCAAGGAATTTATTTAACCCAAAAGAGAAAAAGAGACCTAGAGTGGTTAGGAGCGATTCTGAGTCCAGTGATGAGTTTTCAGAGCCTTACCCCCGGAAAGTTGATAAATTTCACAATGGTTCGGTTTTTAGTAACAGGGGTTTTATGGAAAATAGAGAATTTGAGACTGAGAATAGGGTAAAGAATGGGATAGATGTGTTTGAGTTTGATGACTATGATGAGAGGAGGATTAGGCAGGATGCTCATGATCATAGGCATGGGTTGAAGTTACATTGGCAAAACGGAGATCGAAAGGAATCTGCAAGTGGCAGTAGTAGGAGGATCGATGATAAGAGAAGGGACATCTTTCGCGATAATAGGAGTACCATTTTGGGTGCAAAGAGTAGAAGGCCTACTCATGGTGTGAAAAGTCGATATGAGATTGAGGATGATGAATCCATCTTGCCATTTTCAGTATTGAGTGATAAGTACCAAGAAGTTTCTGATGAACGGGAGCCTATTAGGTTGCAAGGAAAGAATGGTGTTTTGAAGGTGATGGTAAATAAGCATAAGCAGATGGGTATTTCACGTCAAACTTATGATCCTGCAGAAGCTGAAGAGTGGGAAGAATCTAGGCCTGCAATTTTAAAAAAGAAACAGCTGAATGTGCCCCATAGAAGTCATGATCGTTGGGAAGCTGTAGATAGACAGGGGTCTAGGTCTGAAGATGCTGATAAGGAAAAAGACACCAAGGGGTCTTCGTTGTACTCTGCTTTGAAGCATCCTGGAAGACAAATTCCGTCCAAGAGAAGAGAGAAAGATGAGCTGGAATTGAAAAAACCAATAAGCAGCAAGGAAATGGATGATAGTGATTCGTCATTACCTTTGAAATCATCCAGTGTGCATCAATGTACCACTGCAAGAATGGTTAAAAATGAACAAAGACTAAGCCCACCAACCAAGAATGTTACAGCAGTTAAAGGCAAGGAAAGCAAGGTTAAGCGTGGTAGTGGCACTGAAAAACAACTACTGCGTGAGAAAATTAGGAGTATGCTTCTTGGTGCTGGCTGGACTATTGACTATAGACCAAGAAGGAACAGAGACTACCTGGATGCTGTCTATATCAATCCTGCTGGAACTGCTTATTGGTCTATAATTAAGGCTTATGAGGCACTTCAAAAGGAAGAGGGAGATCATTCACAAGCTGGTGGCGACTTTACTCCTCTACCCGTTGAAACACTCAGCAAACTAACTAGGCAAACCCGAAAGAAAATTGAAAGAGAAATGAAAAAGAAGAGAAGAGATGAAGGCAACAGTAGGAATGGGAAAAGGGATAGAACGGAAGTATCTGCAGAGGCTGCAGAGAGTGATCAGCAGGAAGAGAAGCTTGGTTCATATATGAAGCATAGTCGCAAGACAACTAAAAGAAGATTGGAGGAAGCAAGTCAGGACAGTGGTGATGATTCAAATGATAATGATGACAGGGGAACAGCCAAGCAAGATAGGGCTACAAAGGCAACTGTTGGTCATAATTCTCACATGGTGCAGGGCCGAAAAAGCAGAAAACTTGGCAGATGTACTTTGTTGGTTCGCAGTTCTGATGAGGGGAAAAGTTCTACAAATGATAGGTTTGTTCCATATTCAGGAAAGCGAACCCTGCTCTCCTGGTTAATCGACACTGCAACGGTGCAGATGAGTGAAAAGGTGCAATATATGAACCGTAGAAAGACACGGGTTATGCAAGAAGGATGGATCACAAAAGATGGAATCCATTGTGGTTGTTGTAGCAAAATCCTAACAGTTTCAAAGTTTGAGCTTCACGCGGGAAGTAAACTTCGCCAACCATTTCCGAACATCTTTCTGCAGTCTGGACAATCCTTGATGCAGTGTCAAATTGATGCATGGAATAAACAAGAAGAGTTAGAACTGAAGGGGTTTCACACTGTAGATGTTGATGGCGATGATCCTAATGATGACACCTGTAGCTTATGTGGCGATGGTGGCGATTTGATTTGTTGTGATGGTTGCCCATCAACCTTTCACCAGAGCTGCTTAGGTATACAGGTACCAAATTCTCTTTGGTTTACCAGCTTTATATCTTAGTAGGTCCACACATGCACATGGATATAAGTGTATGCATGTATACTTATTTGTGTGTGCATATATGAACACATAAGGATGCCTATGTAATGCACACACACATATATACATGTGTATGTATATAGAGGCTGAACTGTGAATCCCAACATTGAAGAAATGTACTAGCAGCTGACAATTTTTTTTACTATTGACCAAGAGTAGTTAATTGCTTAGTTTCTAGTTACCCTTTCCGTGTAGGCTTGAAGACAAGCTGCTTTCCCACCCTTCATATTGGAACACAACCCACATGCTTACATCATTCGTGGTAGGGGTTAGACTTTAGCCTTGAAGACTTTTTTTGAATAGTTCTAGTCATCATAAGAGATGTTAAATGACGTCGAAGTATCGGTGTCTTCAATCCTGAGAGATTGATGTTCTTTCCTTACATATACCAAATCTTGATATATACATGAAAATTTCACCTATGGCAATTTTAAATTTTCCATTTTTATGGAATTCAATCTAGGAACTACACATTTCTGTGAACCTGCAGGATTCAAGATTTAGTTGCATCGTGCCATTTAATTCGACTCCTAAATATTTGTCAATACTGCCTAATAAAAACTTGAAGCTTGCCATTGATCTTATAATTGTTAACGAGGAGCCTGAAGGTAGATGCTCTCATAGTTTGGCTATATACTTCGAGAAGATAAAGCTAAATTCGAGAATAGAATAAAGAATCGAATCATAGAGTTCAAATCTCAAAGTTTCATAGCATCTCTGTTATGAATGCAATCTTTTAAGATATCTAGCTTCCTTAACTGTTTGATCAGTTTCTCATCTCTTCTTTAATTTCAGATGCTCCCCCAAGGTGATTGGCACTGTCCAAATTGTTCATGCAAATATTGTGAAATGGCCAGCACGGATTTTACTGGAGCCAGTGTTAGAACTAGAAGTCCATTGCTTGTCTGCTGCCTTTGTGAGAAAAAATGTAATAGTACCCTCTTGTAATGGTCCTGTAGTCTTTGTCTGCAACCATATACCTGTTTCCTTGCACTTCTAACAGTTGTTGGTTGGGATACAACTTCTTGCTGCAGATCATGAATCATGCAGCCTAGAGATGGATGAAAAGCCTATTGATCCCACTGATCCAAATTTGTCTTTCTGTGGCCAAAAGTGCCTAGAGGTACCAAATTTCTCTATAGTTCTGAGTTAATGGATCTCAATCTCATATGCATGAGGAAAAGCATTCAACTGTTTCATTGCTGTTTCTTTTGAGAGTGTATCATCATCAAATATTCTAATAATTTGTGTATCAACTTTGAAGGGTGAAAAAGCAGTAACATAAGGATTGTATCATGAAGGATAAAGATAATTTTCATTTACTTTTAGCTTGTTGAAAAAAAAATCATATTGAAAATATACACATTTCTTATAAGTTTGCCGAAATCCAGGTTTTAAAAACAAGAATCGGGCCTTGAGGCGTAGGCCTTGAGGCGTAAGCCTTGACGTGGTCCGAGGTGGAAATATATACACCAATATATGTATACTACATGATATATTTATATCAATGTGCATGCCACTGCTTATTCACAGAAAATGTATGCAATATATATATACACACAAACACTTGAGTACTAGACAAAAAAAAAAAAAATATATATATATATATATATATATATATATCATACTAAATTACTAAAAGAATCTACAACATTTTTTGCAATGACGAAATATAGATATAGTAACAAAGAAAAAAAATATTGATTATTAATAGTATATATATATATGTGTGTGTGTGTGTGTGTGTGCATTAATATGCTCATAGCTCAAAGAAAAAAATATCAAAATATCCAGTGAGACGAACCTTCTTCCATCCTGGCGAAATTATTCAACATGGTTGTTTTTATTTCCTTGATCTCAGCCCTCAAATTTTCTTCGAGTTCATCAACTTTTTTCTCCCATTAGTTCCAGAATATAGCTCTAATACCAATTCGTCAGAGCCTCAGAATGATTTTATTGATAAAATAGCAAAAAAGTACAATGTATCTACTTTCGAGAGGTAGGCTCTCTTGCGAGATGCTCAATTTTATATTCAGCAACTATAATCAAATCAAGCATGAAATCATCCTATGTAATCCTGTATATATAGAGCTGATTAATTATGTAAATGTATGTCTTTGCCTATATATAGTTCCAAGAGTGTATACCCAGCATTATAGTCGAAGATAACTTTATCATTCTCTCTAGTTGAAATAGGAATAAATCCTTTCCTTATTACATAGGGAACAAATCACCTTATTAATAAACCCTATTTTTAAAAACTGGCCAAGGCCCACTTACGGCTCTTGACAATATAATCATTTGCAGGTAATGAATACAAGATGACATAAGTCAATAAAATAGATGCAGGCATTTAGTTAAACGTATTTAGGTAAAAGAAAAGGCGATCCGAGTTCAATGTACAGTATTAGTGCAAAGAGATCATAGTTCTTTTCTTTCATTTGCTCACTTCACCATTACCGGACATTCCTCCCCTCTTTATCTCTTCATTAAATTTGTTAACTCAAAACTCAACCTTTTTAGCTTTCATTCATTAGATGACAGTTATATATTTAGATTTCGGGGATGTGTGCCTTTGTGCATGTTTATATACTTAGAGATTTCCTCGGGAAAATTGTTTCAATGACTAGGCTTTATGTATATTCTAGGTATATGGTAACTTTGGCCAATGCTTAAAAATATGGAAGAGCAAAATAGGAAGATTATGCAATAGAAGTTTAAGGGATGATTACATTTATCATTTATGTCAGCACATCGGAAAGTAATACTAATGTGATTATTTAGAAAGCAAGAGAGTAATCACACATGGAATATATGCATGGTGTGTTTAGCTTTATATGACTGGTATCAACAATTCCATCATTTTATTTGGAGATTTTTTCGGTTACGTCTGGTGAATTTTATTTGGAGATTCTAAACTTTCTCTGTTACGTTTGGTGAATTTGATATCGAACCTTCTTTTACATTCCATGGCCACATCTTTGTGAAGAAGAATCTAATCTACATTGCACAAAGCATGGCCAACCATAGTTAGTTGTACCTTTGTGTAGCAAGAGCCATCATCCTTTGAGCTCTAGATTTGATGAGTACTGGTGAGGTTCGAATGTCATCAAGCTAGGGTTTAATAGCAAGTTACGAGCTTTTAAAAAAATGCTAAACACTCCTGTTATAATAATGGAGGCACATTCTTGTCTTTCTGAATAGAGAGAGAGAGAGAGAGAGAGAGAGAGAGAGAGAGCACTCTTCCACTTCAAATGGGATGTGAATTCTCGTATGGGGCGTTTGGTTTGATGAAATGGTTTGGTGGGATTTGGATTTCGTGGAAGGATTTGGAATTCGAGGGATTTGGATTTGGAATGTTTGGTGTGTTTGTTTTTAGGATTTGGAATTGAATTGGATTCCATTCTTTACAAATAATTTGTAAAAACAAATTACAAATGATTATAAAAATAATAAAATTACCTTGTTATTAATTGATTATTGGAAAACAAACTTTTTTAACATAATTTATAACATTATTCAATTCAAATATTTCAAAATCCCTTGAAATCCCTACCACCCCCGTGGGATTTCAAAATCCTATTTTTGAGGGATTTCAAAGAAATCCTAGGATTTCAAATCCGAGCAATCATGCAACCAAACACGGGTTGGGAATGAATTTGAATTCCAAATCCTTTCCATTCCTGCAAACCAAAGGGGACCTAATATGTTTTTAGTCTTAACTTGTTATGATTGTACAAGAAATATTACAAACAGTAACATCTTGGTGTCAACTTTGCAACAAATTTCTTATCAATGTAATATTTGAAAATAACTGGTTTGATTTAGATGGTTGAAACAATCTCTTCCCTGGAACACAGTGAGTAAGTCTGCGAAAATTGCAACTTTTGGCTGGTCAAACATTTCAACAGAAGTATTTGATTACTACCCAGATGTCTAAAATAAGCTTTAGTAATGACAAGTAGGGGAATCTTGTGAACCTAAAGCAATGGCGTCAATAGTTTGTGATAACAAAAGACAAATTAGAAGTTGCTCTTTTCTCGGGACATCCAAAATAGAGATTGATGCTGTATTGATGAGATGAAGGGAGTAATACTCTTCAGACTTTATCCAGAAAAAGAGAAAATAAGAACCATTAGCATCTTCAGGGCCCAATAACCTGAGTACACCTCAGAAGGAACATAAGGATACTTGATGCAGGATGCCAAATGCATGATACTAACCTGCCTAGGGTTGGACGAATTGCGTGACCAGAGAGAAGAATATAACTATCAAGATAACAGAGCAAGTAATTAAGGAAAGGGTATGTATGTACATATATTGATACAGAGACGGCTGATTAACCACACATGAGACGTAGAATTAACCACACATGAGACGGCTTAAGATTAAGAGAGTTGATACAGAACCACATAAGCCAGCTTGAATGGCAAAACCTTGAGCATGAGGATTTCTGCTCATTTTTACTTATGCATTTGTTTACTAAATTGCCTCTACATTCTTCTTTATATAGGCTATTACTTATGAAGTATATAAGATTTGACTGCTGGTGGAATGTATTTTGTTATAAAAGAAGTATTATAGAAGCTCTTTCACAATCAAGTTTTTGTTGTGTTGTTTGTTAGTACCTTTTCTTTTCTTGTTTGTTGCTGTACTTGTCTTCATCAGAATGCAGGGATGATAACTGGCTCTCGATTTTGCAGCTGTACAGCCACTTGCAGAAGCTTCTTGGTGTCAAACATGAACTGGATTCTGGATTCTCATGGTCTCTCATTCGTCGGTCTGATATATCATCAGATACATCATCCATAGAATTATCTCAGAGGGTGGAATGCAATTCTAAGCTAGCTGTTGCTCTGTCAGTGATAGACGAGTGCTTTTTGCCTATCGTTGACAGGAGAAGTGGAATCAAGTTGATTCATAATGTTGTCTACAATTGTGGGTAAGTTGTAAACTGTACATTGCTGATTAAGAACTTGGAAGAAGAAATATACCAATAGATAAAGAAAGTAAAGAATGGACTAATATTCGCGGAGACATGGACTTATGTCTTGAGTAGATTATGCATGCTGTTCCTAGTTATTGATGTCATTATTATTATTATTATTGTCATTGTGATAACGGTAAGTATAACCCTAATAACAGTGGTTTATTGATGCCATTATTATTATTATTATTATTATTATTATTATTATTATTATTATTGTCATTGTTATTTATAATTTTCCCCCCATCCCATGCAAATTGCAATGATTTGCATAATCCCATATTAAATGCAATGTCTCCTTTTAATTCAAAATTACCTATGTGCCAGCAAAAATTATTTGAGATTTTGATTTTGGTCCAAAAGATTGAGATTTACATTACTTTGAAATCAAGAGTTAATTTAAAACACTTTCTTCCTATTTTTCCATGATGTAAGGTTATTTGGATATTTGTATATTTGGTTACTAGTCAACACTTGTCTTAGTATGTGGGGTTCGTTATGGCAGTTTTCATGGGATGGAGTTATTAGTAGTAAGTTATTTTTTGGCATGTAATGGAAGCTTTATAGGTAACTTTGTTTTTTTTTCCTTTTCAGTTTTCATTTCTACTTGTGTTATCTGCAACTCTTGTACATGCAGGCGTGTTCATTTGCATGTGAAGTTTTATCATCGCATTTAGACTTGATATCCAGTGTTTTTGTTTCCCAAATGTTCAATTTATGTTGGTATCAAGTACCATTGAAGCTGGACTGATTATTTATAATGTTGTTTAAGATTCCTGCACCTTTAATATTCTTACTTACCAAGCATTGGCTGATACTTTGTCTAGATCAAACTTCAGCCGGTTAAACTATAGTGGCTTCTTTACAGCTATTTTGGAGAGGGGCGATGAAATGATTTGCGCTGCATCCATCAGGTAGGGTGCTTTATGATTGTTGATCTGTAAAGTGCGAGTGCAACTTTACTTGCAACTTCAACTTCTGACCTTAATTTTTAATAATATGCTCAGGATCCATGGGACCCAACTAGCAGAGATGCCATTTATTGGGACTCGCCATATATATAGACGACAGGGAATGTGCCGTCGATTGTTATCTGCTATTGAATCAGTAAGAACATTATGTATATTGATTCTTGCAGATGCTTTATATTATGAAACAATCACTTGATCTACATGTCTTTGGTGTTTTAGTTGCACCAGATGCATGTAAAATTGCCCCTTGAATTATTGCCTATTATTTCTTATTTGCTTATGCGCCGTTGCTATTCCTGCAACAAATCCTTATATATTTTGTAGTTTTTATTATGTTTTGACAAAACTTACAAAACCTTGTATTCGATAGTCTACTCATGGTACTCTGTGAATGTTTTGTTTTCAGGTGCTCTCTTCCCTCCATATTGAGAAATTGATTATTCCTGCCATTGCTGAACACATGCATACATGGACTGGTGTTTTTGGTTTCAATTCTCTTAAAGAATCACACAAACAAGAAATGAGGTCCATGAATATGCTGGTGTTTCCTGGAACAGATATGTTGCAGAAATCGCTAGGCAACACAATTTCAGACAAAGGTTCATCATTGGACTTGTAGATGCTCTGCAGTTTTCATAATTTTATCTTTTTATTCATATTTATATCTGGTAGTCTTGGTTTTGGCTGTAGATAAGAGAAGCATTGAAATTGAAGGCAGCATGCCCAAGGCCGAAAAATCAGAACCTGATGTCAAAGAGTTGAGTGAGAAAATTGAAGATCCTACTGTCCCTTTAGATGATGCTAGCGATGTGACTCTTTCCGTTGGTTCTGATAAAGATGATATCCCATTGTCATCTTTAGCAAGAAAGTCAGAAAATGTTTGCGGTTCCACTGTTCAGTTTGATGCTGATGCTGCTTCTTCGGACATCCGTTGTGAAACTGAAATCCAGTCTGTTTTCTTGAATGTTCGTTCAGATGCCAATTCATTTCCGCTCCAAGACCCTGATTTTGTTTTGCATGATGCTGAAACTTCAGATAATCCACTCTTAGCAAAAGTATCAGTTTCTGGTTCCAACGTAGAAGAATTTGTTGCAAAAACTACTGATGCTGGTGGCTTATTTCAACCACAAGTCCAGACTGTTCCTTCAAGTGATGTTTCTTGTGAATCCAAACTCCAACACATGGGAAAGGAATTCATTTCAGTTGAAGAAATTGCATTCCAAACGGGGATTGGGACTAATTTACATTCACTCCAAGTCCCTGTTGTTCCTTCAGATAATCCATGTGAACTCACAGGAAAGGAATCAGTTGCAGATTCCGATTCCGAGGTAGATGGCAGAAGAGCTGATGCTATTCCACATGAGGCGCACGTTGGCGTTTCCTCAGATATTCATTTTGAATCTGCACAACAATTCTCTGGACTGGAATCTCTTCCCCATTTCTAGCAGAATTGTGTTGTGATGCTGTTAAACCCGCGGGTGAGTCTGTGACAGGGAAAGAAGCTGCTGCATATATCGAAAAAGAAAAGTAAAATCAGAAATGGAAGAATTCAAACAGAGATGTTCCTTCCTTCCTTCCTGCTGGCTTGTATGATAGTTTTGAGCACTCTTTTCAATTGTTTGATTAGTTTTAGAGTTTGCATTGATTGAAATTTGGTGGGTTGGGACATACTCACAGCTGTTGTATCAGAAAAATGCTAAAATAAACCACCCAATATTCATATAAGATCAAATATAGTTTTAGAGAATCCTCAATTTTATTTTTAAATATGAAACAAATTACATTATTCAAACCATCTTCATGAATGCCTTTGTATACTTCTTTTACTTTGCCATTCCATCTCATCTACTTCCCTCTTATTTGTTGTTAAAAGGTCAAGTTGCTGTTTAACATAAAATCTTCATATTTGTTTTTTGTACGTCTTTTAAAAGAGCTTGTAAGGCAACCTCTAAGAACCCGTTTGGTTTGACGGAACATTCTTTTAGGGGGATTTGGATTTTACGGAAAAATTTGGGATCTTTGGTGTACGGGTGTAAACGAGCTCGATTAACTTTTTCAGTGTAGGGCTCGAGCTCTAGCTCGAGTTGTTTTTTTTTTTTTTCCAGTTATCGAGTTCGAGCTCGATGCTCGTTTATGAGTTCGAACTCGTGATCGATTAATTCTTTTATCGGCTTGAGCTCGATAATTTTTTATTTTTATTTTTATTGTAAGATTAATAAATATACGAGTATGTTTGGCTCGAAAAAGTGTATGCTCGAATGACTTGGCTTGATTCAAAACATTGAATCGAGTTTCCAAACGAGTTGAGTCGAACATTAGTGTTATAATGTCTCGGCTCGTTAAGTTAAATGATTTCTATTTTGTGTTCGAGATTGACTCAAACTCGAGAATTATTAAGCTCGAGCTCAAGATAAACGAGCTTGAGCTCGAGTAGCTCGTTAAAAACTCGAATTGTTTTTACCCTTACTTCTGTGTGTTTGCGATTGCTGGATTTGGAATGGAATTCAATTCGATTCGATTCTTTCTAAATCTTGTTTGGTTTGTGAGATTTGGAATGAAATTTTACTTTTTATAAATAATTGTTTGTTTTCTATAAATAATTTGTTTGTTTCGGTAAAATGTGGAGCGATGGAAGATTAGCGCAGATTTGATGAAAGAGGTGATAGATATACGATGGAAACAATTGAAATGCAAGGGATTTCGATTCGAATCTCTGAGGGATTTCTAAATCTGTAAGTTATGGGATTTTATCAAAATCCCTGGATTCAAAATTCAAGTCTTTCTTTCCAAACCCAAGGTTAAACTGGAAATCAATTTCAGATCCCTTAAAACTACCAAATCCTGCAAATTAAACAACCCTAACAAATGGTGTAGTAGGAAAGATATAAGAATCAGGACTTATGCTTCAGGGCCTTGATCCCTGTATTGGTTGTTTTCGGTCTAGCAATATAGGTCTAGATTCCCTAGACCGATTATAAGACCTTCTGTTGTTGTTGCGACACGGCTTAAATGATGCATAAGCGAAAGATGCTGACTTGATACACCTATTCTACTTTCAATGTATGAGATCTCTTACTCTCTCCATAATGAGTTAATTTCACCTACATGTTATCAGCACTTTCGCTCAAACACGGAGAGATACAAGACTGTTTTCTCGTGTAGATTATCATTTCAACTCGGTGGAAGGTACAAATTTACTATTAGAAAACACGTTAAAATTGTTGGTTAATCAAATATATGACCGAAACTATCATATTTCAGATGTATATTCTTATGAACCATGTTTTTTTTGAACTAATGTCTATCACTTAAAACGGGTTATATCTTGTATCCATGAACATACTCTACATAATATATATGTAACTACTTTCATCGTATTTTTGTTCCGAATATTCTTTTGGTCACGAAAACAAGCATAAATTTGATTGTTACAACTTCTAAATAAAACCGTTTGAATTAAAATTATTCTTTATGTGACATAATTTGTTTTAAATTCTTATCATGCTTATGTTTATTGTCAATAAATTGAGTAACTTCTGTGAATTAAATCACATAAAATTAGCAAAGGGAACACTTTTTGTGTTATATTTATTGACATTGTTAAAGACTGCTTAATTTTGTCATGTAAAAGAACTAGTAAACTTTAACTGTTACTAGAGCATACTTTTTCGAACTTGAAAATTTTCATATGTTTTTTCGAGATGAAAATTTGTTGAATCATATATTTACACATTTAAGTTGGAAAAATTATGAATCAACTCCAAATAGGCTCACATATTTGGATATGACGTCTAGGAATATAGGCGGGTAATTTCTATTCTAATGATGTCGGTTTTTAAAATGCTTTGCGCTTACCACTTCCACCATCTTTCCCAAAGGTGTTCGAGTAGAGATTCCAAAAGAGGTTGAGTAAATGATAACTTCCCTGAATGTGTTTATATACTAATGTATATTTGCTGAATTTGTGTCTCGCAAATCGACATGTCGGTCGATCAAGGAGAACCATTCTACCTTAGAGCAAAACTTGTGTTTCTCGAACCTGTTATTTCGAAACAAAGTTAGTGCTAACAAAACTACTCTTTATCGAACCTATCTTTTAGAAACATAACCACAAACATATAAATGAGACTAGGCAAGATATGTGATTCCCAAACTGGGAGACTAGGCAAGACTAAAAGACTAAGATTGGTGAAAAGACGGTATAAAGAATAAGAACTTAAACTTAAAAATAAATTTAAGAGCAAGAGAGGATATATGGAAGAAGTTTTTATATTTCTTTCCAATGGATGATTACAAATAAGGAGGAAACCTTCCTTATATAGGCAAGGAAAACGTGCTCTTACAAAATCATGATGTAAGCATTACAAAAACAACCAATTATTGGTTCAAAATGAGGTAAGCGCTTACATCACTTAAAAGTAGGGATGGCAACGGGGCGGGGATGGGGCGGGGTTTGCAATCCCCGGCCCCGGCCCCGGTTTATATAAATAGTCCCCGGCCCCGGCCCCGGCCCCGTCCCCGGTCAACTTTCGGTCAACCCCGGTCAACCCCCCGGTCAACCTCCGGTCAACCCCCGGTCAACACCCGGTCAATTTAAAATTAATA